TTACATAATAGCAAAAGCAAAAGTTTAAGGCATAAAATATTCCGAAATCATAAAGTGTGTAATATTTTGTCATAAATACAACAAGGAATTAGTCTTCAATGTAAGATATTTTCTGCTAATGGCACAAATACATATTAATTTCGATTCACCCACGAAAGAAGGCAAGCTGGCAAACTCTTTTATTTATATCAAACGAATGGTGCAATACCAGGTGACTCGTATTTGTACCAGCCATTTGATATAAACCAAAAATAAAAACATAAATAAAAGCAAATTAAATCATTCAATCCACAAGTATAATACAAACCTTAAGAGCTTTAACAAGTGATTCAGAAGTTTCTTCCGTTAGGATGATATTGTACGATTGGCCCATGGATTCACGTACTCCAATATGATAACAAAGACTCGGTTGTTGTTGCGCAATGGAAACATCAACTAATGCAACATCAGCGTTGTAAAAAACATCAAGAGCATTTGTTTCGCCAAAATCAAGACGATCAAAATCTAAGTGCTGAAATAATCCTGTTAACATACCTCGTTTCCAAATTTTGAAAGAAAGATTGCATTTTAAATGGTCAATAACACAATCTAAAATTATCGATATTATTAAATTTGTTGGATTGATTTTGAAAAATCGATCTATACATCGCATACTCACCGTTAAATTAACGTTTAATGAATCCGCAACCTTCTGAACATCATTGCAAGCCATTTCGCGTATTTTCATATTTTTTGCAACCTTCAAATCCATTACCAGTACAATCTGAAAATATAAAATGTAAAACAATCATTGAATTTCTGAAGTTACTTAAACTAAAAATCTGAAACATTTAATACAGTAAAAAAATGAACTGTAAATGCCGTCTGAAGTTCTAAAATTATAATTCAATTTTTATTGGTGATTCCATCTTGCCCCTATATTATATTAAAGCCATAAATTTTCATTGTTGTATGTTAATGTTTCTTATAACGCTGAAAACTTTTATTTCTAAACTTATATCTTTATATCCGACTTTTTTCTTCTCTTTTCCATCACTATGATACGTCATGAGGAATATGATTTACTTGCTCCATTTTTTGGTTGTTCGCATAAAAGCAGCCCTCACCCCCTTTTCCAAAACCACAAAATAATTTCGCCAAATCCATTTTGTAGTGGACTTACTACTTAAATTACAGTTCATTCAGAGTATTTCTCGAGATGAAGATCATTCACAATACAAACGAAAAATCAATTTTTCTGTGAGATGAAAGAAAAAGGTGGACCTGAAGCTTTCGGGCAAAATGTGCTGCTGCATTTGTAGCATATTTATCGATGGACAATGGTGAAGTGATGGCCGCTGGTACACGGGTGATGACACCCGGAGGAGCTGTTCGAGGAGGTAGCGGTATTGGACAAATGTCCGCGTTCGGTTGTTCAGCCATTATCCAAGTACTTCATTGCAAATGCTTCTGCACCCTACAAGCATCTGGATTTGCAGTGCTTTTATTACTGTTGTTGACTCGAAGATGAAATCTGATGCTGACAACAATAATCTGTAAATGAAATAAAGTGACAGCAAAAAAATTAAATTTCAATAAGTTTCTCAAACATAAAGAATGCACAATTTGAGGAAGTATTTCACTTAATATGCAAAAAACTGGTTTAGAAATCAATTGTTTAAGCACGGATGTTTAGTATAACAAATATTTTGTTCAAAAAATGGAACATTTATTTAAAATTTAACTTTTAGTTCACTAAAGTTTAACTTTTGAACAAAATACAAATGTTTCTTTCAGAAAGACAGCAAATAAAATAGCATGTAAAAGATTAATGAAATCATTTTAGTTGTTCTACAAATGAAACATAAGCATCCATTTTACGTAAATATTTGCAATGGGAATATCACGTCGTAATGATAATGCACATATTTCCATGAAAAACTGCTTACAAAGAACAAAAATAGGGGGAATCGAACCCCGCTGATTTTATCACCTTTATCAGTATTGATGAAATGCTCATCAATAGCCATGGAACAAACAAATTGGATAGCACGACATAGCAAGTCACACGGCCTATTAGCCAACAAAGCCACTCAATAACACGGCACGTACGCCATCTGACGGCCCGTCTTTGTAACTCTTTCGTCTCGTATCATTTCGAAAATTTAATTTTGAACATAAAAGGTCAGTGCGTTTTATAAAATACGTATATCTCTACCGTTTGAAGTGTGAGGAATTTTGCTTTTTGGTTTGTTGTAAAATTTTAATAAGGGAGGAATTCAGTAGGAATGAATTAACTGTTTCTTAAATTTTGAATCTTTCAAAAAATTCCAACTTTTAAAAAATTTAAATTGTACTCAAATTTTAAAAATTAGGTCCAAACATTAAGGGTAATATATGCAAAAGATTAGCTTAAATGGACTGATTATTTGTTAACCGTTATGGAAAAGGGAAAGAAAAAAGAAATTGTGCGACAATAAATATTTTTCTACCTTCTTCATTTTATTCCATTCTATATTTTCAATTTTAATCTTGTTTTAATATCAGCTTAACGTTAATGTCGATTTTTCATCTTAATTCTGATTCAATTTTGAGAATAATGTATTTTCAAATTTAATCACTTTTTTTTGCTCTTTCATTTATTAGACTCTTTTCTTTTTTATAACAAAGGGATAAAGAGAAATAAGGAAAGAGCTTCTCATTGCCATGGGCAAAGATTGGGTAAGTGATGCACTGAGACCTATCTATAAATGTACTTTTTAGCCTGATCTTTCCTGTAGTAGTGGTCGATGGCCTCATTTCTAATCCTTTTAGCTTTTCTTCAAATTTCTGACGATAATTTTGCACGAATACTTTCACTTTGCACGAATACTTTCACTTCTCAAAAATGATACTGATGGGAAGAGGTTTAATTCAAATGTTCATCCCACGTGTTATTTGTTCTAAACATAGAGACTAACTTATGTGACACCGTTTGAATTCGAATCTTTAACAAAAAATTTAAGAGAAGTTAATTGGATTTGTTGGGAACGCATTGGAATGATTTTTTCAACTGGACAAGCAGGTTTGGTAATCGACAATTTTATTACGATAGACCAATTTGATACCAGTCCAGATGTCAAGTATTACTTCCTTTCCAGTGCTCATTCTCGTCATTGCCAGAAGTTAACTGTAAGTTTCACTTAAATTTTTATACTTAATAAGTAAATTCGATATTTTCCTATACGTCTTATCTATTTGTTTGTATAATATTTGTATATGTATAAATAAAGAAAAAAATATTGGAAAAAAAATCCATAATTCAAAATTTTAAATTCCAATTCAAAACTAAAAATAACTTAGACATACATTTGTATCTGTTTTTGGTTAAATCACAGCAAAGTTATTTAATTTACTCATTTAGAATCATAGTCTATTTATTGACTGAAATAATGATGATGGTCGATAGAATATGGGCTTTTTTGCATACATTACATTATGTAGCATTCCTAAGAAATAAAAATTTAGTTTGAAAATGTTCTTTAAACAATACTTTTAAATAGCGATTATGTCAAGTCGTTTTTAATTCATTCATTTAGTTGTACATTCTAATATTAAAAGTGATTTTATAGAGTAAATTGCAAAGCGGTGGAATATATTGTTCACCGACAACAGCGAAATTGTTACCTGTGATAAATAGTCGATACAGGATTCCGGATGAATGGATTCGGCCACTAGATTTGAATGTGTGGCATGAAATGGACGGATTTCAGGTGATGCTTATAGATGCAAATTATGCACCTGGCGCTGTTATGTTGATCATTGAAGGTGATCATCGTAGTACTTTGGGACGGATCTTATATACTGGTTTTTTCCGAGCCGATGCACGATTTTATCAGAATGCGACAGGTTTATCAGTGTTACAAGAGGTTAACCTTTACGCATATAGATTTGAATATCTTGCATGATTTTTAAAGTTTTTGATTTTTAGAATTGATTCCAGAAATCATAACGTTAGGATTTTGCAAATGCAAAGCAGGATTTTAAGGCTATAGAATCAGAATAATGAAAGTGTGAAGGAACGATTACAGAATCACAAACTTGATATTTTGAAATCAAAAAATCTAATATTTTATAATGTTCGAAAAAATATATTTCTATAACTGATTCAAATAGTATCAGTTTTTTAAGAAGAAATTTGATATCATTTGCATCAATTCAACGTACATTGATTTCACGATAGAAGAATTTCCAAATAGAAGATCTTCGGCAAGGGAAGCAGCAAATCTTCTTCGTTTGCTGAAATATAACGGAGTTGATAGTGTGGCTGTTCCGGTGCCAAAAATTGGTTGTGAAAGTTTTCTGGTCAACATATGTCGGGAATTGAAGGTACTCTTTATTAATTATCAACGCTTTTATCTTGTTATATGGGTTTAATTTTTCTTTTCAAATGTTGACTCTTATGTATTGTAATTGATTAGTACAAAAAACAAAAAATTTCCAGTATTAGATGATACAAACGAGGGGTTGAAATGTAAAATCAAATATGGTATACCTCGAGGTTTGTTGTCTTTCATTAGCTAAGATTGGGTTTTATATTACCAGAGACGACAAAGTTTGTATTTATTGTAATTCTCAAAAATTCATTTTTCACAAAAATAATGATGTTGTTTTATAAGGGTTAAGTAAAATTTTGCAGTGCAAAATTTGGTTGCATCCGGAACGATTTGAAATTGCTCATATTCTCGGAATAAATGATTATTTTTCGGACACGAAAGAAAACACCTACATTTGGACTTGCTCACAAATGTTCGTTCTTTCTAGATGTCTTAATTTTTAAGAACAAAGTGATGAAGGTGTTATAATATTTCATTTCTAACTTATTGGTTCTAAAATCACTGAATTTTGAATGTTTATTGATTTTTTTCTATATGTAATTTGATTTTCTCTCATGTGATGCTTGTTTCACATCACTAATATTTACAGCTACACAAGTAGGTAACTGAAGTCACAGTAGCATAATACATAATTTTTTCTTTTTTTCAGAGAAAGCCAGCAAGTTCTTTCCATGACTGGTTCTCATATTATCAAGGCTTCTATGACATCCCATGTATTAAAGTAAGAATTTTTACTCGGAATTTTTAGCGATGCTTTTAAATTCATATAATTTGAGAAATCCTACCTGAAAATTGAGGGAATTTTATTCTTTTATGCATTTGTATCTTTTTTAACTGTTTTCCATTACTAGCTGAGAATTCGTTTGTGTTCACAGTTCTTTTATTTATTCGTTGACTGTCTCATGGTTCATTTACTCATTACTAGAAATTTGTCCAAAAAGGACTAACAACTGAATTAATACAGTTTGAATAACTTGCTTAAACTGCTAGCATTGTTAGCTTTTAAATCTCTAAGTCTATGGTATTAGATTTATTAATATTAGCATCATTAGCAGTAAATTTATCATGAAATCTTTCATGATCTAATCAACAGCTGAATTAATACAGTTACTTAAACTTTAAGTGTTATTAGCTTTTAAATTCCTAAGTCTGATTATTTGTTATTAAGAATATCAAAATTGTTTAAAATATCAATACAATATGTCATTCACTCCGATTTTCATTTAATACTACGCATTTTCTAGCACTTCATAATAAACGATGAATTATTATGATATTACGCTTGATCCATTCACTGCTCAGTTCGTCTTGTACTAAAAATTTGGTACCACTGATTTTTAGCAACGAACGGGAACATGTAATTCGGTATTCGGATCACTGCAGTTTGGCTGAACTACGATCATTCCTCTCGTTATTATCCTTCTCACGTATAGTTGGTACCCCGAATAAATTACCACGTTCGATCGAGGATGAATTGCAAAATTTGACTTTATCTGGAACAGAAACAATGCATGATTGCAAAGAAGAGCATGGAAGTCCAGAAGAGTTATTGTTCGATCCATTTAGAATTTCGTGGAGGTTAATTTTTAATTTCCATTGTGATCACTAATTATATTGTGCAAAGGTTGAAAAACCTTAAATAACAATTCCAAATGGAAAAAAAGATAATGGAGTTCTATTCTTAAGTTTGAAAGTCGATTATTCGTTTAGTTAATCTATTTCTGGATACTGATCGATAAATACATACTGGTTTTGATGAAATTATAGATTACATCTTCATGAATAGATCGTAAGGAAAAAAAGAAATAGCATTTTTGATATATTTTTTACATCGATAGCACTAAAAAAGAGAAAAAACAATATACTCTTTTATATATACGTTGACAAATTGAATATAGTAAATTTTAGATCAATATTGTATTTAATATGTTTTAAATTCATTGTGTTGCAGGATTGGAATAACGTTTGATTACGCACTTAGAAAGTTTTATGATCAGCTGTCTACAGTGGAGAATTTACTTCATTTACCAGGTGATGAACATATGGAAGAGATGTTATCAGAAGCAAGTCGTGTTAATAATTTCATCAGCAAACAACATTTAAAAATGAACATTTCCGGTATCGATCAATTGGTTAATGTGTCAGACACTTGGAATTCAAATTCAAGAACTTATTCATTCCAAAAGTTCTTTACTAATTTTATTAGCGGTATTTGGTATGGTGATGATAAAAGTGATGCCGAAGGAGTAGAAGATAGACTGGATGAAATGGAGATATACAAGGGTGATGATCCGCAGAAAATGGAGGATTCTTCACAAGATACTTACGAAAGCGCTGGAAGTAGGATATCTGATACAAAAACAGCTATCAGAATCTTGGAAGAACAGTACGACATGTCGGTCTTGTTGGATTATCTTACGAATATATTTTATGTGAAAGACATTGATTTTGGTTCTACAGAGGATGCGGAATTTCTGGAAATTCTTTCCGATATGGACATTTCAAAGAATTTCGATGATTTTGATGATTTGTTTGAGAAATACCGGGAAAGCATAGGAGAAATGTCAGGTGATTATTTACTACATCTAAATTTGTAACCAATTAAAATCAAAACTCCAAAATTTTCATTTTTTCAATTTTTTTAATTATAGATGAAATCATGAGTCAACCGTATCATGCCGAAGAGCACATTTGCTATGATCCTTCAAATGCACCGATACTTCCGGATGTTGTGCATGAATTATTGTATGACAGTTCCACTTTAGAGTTGCATCAGGTTTTATTTTATGCCGAACTAAAAAAATCTAAAAACACATAGTCAAAATAAAAGCAGTTATTCCACGGAAATTCCATCTTAGATACTTTTCAAATATTAAGACAAGTGATTGAAAATATTTGCAAAAATTTTAAAAAAGCCAATGTTATGAGTTCTAAGATTATGTCAGAACAGATGCAAATTTGCAGTGCATTTAATTTCATACATTTGTTCCACTGACAAATTGATATGCTGAAAACTGCATGAGACATAGGATCATGATAAAACGGTAAGAAGCACAAAAAATTTTAACGCACATAAATTTTTAAAAACTATAGTAATATTTTTTCAGGATGATTCAATGTTACCACAACGAATTAGCGTCTTAAATCGTTCAGTACTGAAAGATTTCTCGGAAAACAGAAATTGACATAGAATTTTTAACTACACGCAAACTTTCATCATCTCAGAACTATTTTGCTTAATTTTCGTTCGACTCAGCTACAACCATCTGAGTAATAAGATTTACTCTCAGATTTTCACTTGTGCTAATTGGTTAACAACTGCAGATTCTCAACTTCAGCTTATAAATGTTGAAATGTTGTAGTGTTCGCTTAGGCAAATGTATTAATGAATTTCCGTTTGAACTGTAAATCTTTTTATGTTATTGGATGCATAATTTAATGTTTTATTTGTGACAATATTTTGTTTTCCTTAGTTTGAATTGTTTGATTTGGAGTATGCTAGTTGTTAAGTTTTGGTGTATTAGTGAATGTATGCAGCTATGAATTTCGGCATTAAGTTACTTGATCATTTGAGTAATTAAATGGTAAATTATGTAAAGGTATTAGAAATAAAAAAAAATATGGTGGAACAGATATTTCAAAATTTGAGCTAAGATTTGTTGAAATATGTATTTGAAAAATAGTGTTTTTTTTTCAACTCATTTTTTAAAATTGAATAATGAAGTTCTTGAAACATATCTCATTCATCACAATCCGGTATTTAACTTTTGTCCTTTCACAGCTAAATCAACAAATATGAAGCAAAAAATAAAATGGTATGCATTACCGACAAAGGTGCTGTCAGTAATAAAAAAATTTCGGTAAAAATTTATGGAATTGCTGAGTTATAAAATATCCCAAGAGACTACGGTTTTGCATGGAACTGTGCCTCAAGAAGTGCAAAGATAGTGCGTAAATATCGCCAAATAATTTAGCGCATATGATCAAAAGAGTCGAATGCTGTCAAATTAAAATTGAAAAGTTAAATTTGGCTGAAAATAAAAATTTCGAATTGATTAATTTAGCTAAAGATCTGAAATGTACTATTAGATCTGAGGTGTTACTATTAGATCTAAAATCATTCGTTACATTTGCCAATAAAATTTTTAAATTTTGCGCATTGCGCATATAGTCTGACCCTTTCTTCTTTTCTACTCCTTAGAATACATTAGCTGCTTTGTTAACTGCTAATAGTTAATGTAAATCGTTAAACCGATGAGAACTTAATCCAATTAATTATCGAAAATTCTCAATGTTATTTTCACCGTTTTCGTTGAAAATTATTTATAGCTTTCGTAAAATTGTAAAATTGCTCGACACATTTATTTTACTACGAAAATCTACCGATTTGTGAGCATGTGCAAAGCAATCCGAGAACAATAACTGTATCATCTGCGTTTTTAAGTTATTCATTAATGATTCATCGAAGAAGAATGGATAAGTACGGTGAAATATATGAATTAAGTAAATAGGTGAAATATTTTTGTCCATATAGGTAACTAGATAAGTGATTAAATTGATTACAATTCATGAATTAGTTATTCTTTTTTTTATGATATAAATTATCTGATAATATGTTTAAGTATTCCAAAGAGATTGAAGATTTGTTTAACTAAATAAGCGAATGGCTTTTGTTAGTGTCAATCAATAAGATATTTGATAACTGATTGAATTTAGAGAGGAAATCTTCGACATATCGGGAAGATATTCCATCTGAGAAAAATAAAGGTATCTTTTTTTTTTTTTTTTATTTAAACCAACAAAATATAATCAAATACAATTATTTGGTTACATTTTATGTTAAATTGTTAAATTGTTAAATAAAATGTTAAATTTATATGTAAGAAATTTATATGCTAAATTTAAATTTATATGTTAAACTTTATATGTTGAACATGAAATGTTAAATTTAGTATTGTTCTAGGCGATATAGGAATGCATTATTTATGATTAAATATATTGTTATCAGTTTCAATTTTCAATTTCATGCCATGAATTTTACTTCCTTACTTCTTTCATTTCCACTTCTTCCTTAATTTGTATCTTTTTGCTCGGCGACATTTTTTCGTTGCTGTTCTAATAAAACCTGAAATAAATTTTGTCGAAATAAAATTTGTCATAAACTCGGATTTTCTTTTATCAAAACCATGTAAGAGCATATCTTCATTGAATACTAAAACACAAAACATTTTGTTTTATTAAATAAACGAATGGCTTTTTTCAATGTCAATCAACATTAATTATCATAATTGTCGGAGAAATCATTGTAAGAGTAAAATATTACTAATTGATATTTAATTCATGCAATTACTGTTTCTAACCTAAAAACTACTTTATATATCCATTTTCATCATCGTTTTATCTTTTATCATTTCAAAATATTTTTGAATTTGAAATAAAGTCAGTTGAAAGTTAATTTTTTTGAAAATAACATCTTCTGTAATCATCCACCCTCTCGACAACTTTCTCCCCATACTAATAACAAATCCTTTGTTTTTCTTATTCTTTATAGCTGAATTTTACCTTCTGAACTATCGTATTATTTTGAAAATACTGAAAAGATTTATAATTGACAGAATTTAAACTGTTTTTAGATCTAAACGTTTTACTATTATTATTGTAACCTCAAGTTGTCGTTTCCATCGACTAATGTACAATATTCGTTCAATTCGTCGCCTTCCTTCCACGAGAAAGTAAATGAGCGGTGATAAAATAAGTTGTACAAATATAGCTCCAATTAGAAATGAACACAAAATCTGAAAAATCAGAAGAATGGGAAGTAAAATCTGAAAAATGAAAACCTAATTAGAATGAATTTAGATTAAGTTTGTTTGATTTGTTGAATGCAATGTTAAGTAATTATCTTTGAAGTTTTTTTTTTTAGCCATTTAGCTGCTCATATTAGTTGCTTCAGTTAATTTCATTTATTGATAATCATAGTTATTTGTTAGTAGAAATAAAAATAAATCAAACAATAATAAAAGGAGGATTTACTTTCATACTTTTCGTAATTTCAGATATTACTTTTTTTCGACAACCAATAATTTGATTTATGTAGTAAAATGATTGATTTGTCATATCTTTAAAACTTCCAAATAAATGATGAAATTTTATTCCCTTGCACACTTTTGCAATGAAATTAAACTTCATTTCAAATATTGAATGGATGATTAGAAAAGTAATTAGAAACAAAATTTTGTCATTCCAAAGATCAAAGATTGCAATTCAAAAAGTGAAACATTTCATATTCGAAAAATGAGTAAAGTGATTAATCATTTCACGATTATTTTCTGCCATAAAAAACCAAAACTTAGATAAAATTAGTACAATTATAAAAAGTTTTAAAGAACGAATAAACTTTGTTTTAGATGAATTGAGCATAAAAAATTAGTCTTTGAACAGCAGGATGGTGTAAACCGCCGTGGTATCCAACTATCCGACCACCAAAGGTCATATTTCGTCATCTGAAATCTTCAAGTACTTATCGATTAAGTAAATAATATCACATTTAATATCGTATATTAATTCTATTGTACCATCAAAGTTGTATGGCTTTGAATAAAAAGCAATGCATTTAATATAAAAGTGAAATTTTATGTGGTTCGAGCAAATTGTGTAATTATACAAAAGGTTAGCATGAATGAAACCTTATGATGCGCAAATGTCCCAGAATAAAGACTTAACCATTCATGTGATCCTTCAACACCACAACATTCCAACTGTCTTTGAACCGAATCAATCTTCAATTTTTTAGACTTTTTTAGTAACTGATAAAATTTTGAAAATTTAAAAATTGTTTGTACTTTGTTATTTTTAGTGATTACTAATTAAAACCAAAATTTTACCCATTATTTGTATAAATTTTTTTTTAGAAAAAAATTCTTAAAATTTATAAGCCGAACAGATATGAGGAATTGATCAAGTTTTTTGATGATCGGTTCATTTTCAACCAAATCACGCACACCAATGATACCTTCGATAAAATTTGAAGTATTGAAATTTTGTTCAGTCAAATTCATGTCCATTAGATCTTCTATTGGTTCTGTTGCATTAAACTGAAATTGTTAGAAATTATTCGAAAATTTGATTTTTTTTTTAAAAAATAAAACATAACCTTTTAAATGAAATGTGAAGGAAAAAAATGAAGATTTGTATTAAAAATTACGGCTGGAGCAGTCAAATTTGATGAGTAGTAATTAATGGAATGAAATTTATCAATCCATGAGCTACTGAAAGCTTTCGCAGATGCTTGTGATGCTGTTAAAGCGAGAATTATTCCTGAAAAAAAGTATCATCCGAAAATATAGGATGCAATACTTTTACTATTTTAAATTAGTAAATAATGAAAAATAATGCATGATATTACATAGTATTGTATGCATAAATTAATTTTACCTGATATAGAAAATGGAAAAATAATAATTGATTGATAAAACAGCATTATTATTAAGAAATACTTGATTGTCTCGTAATTTCCATTCATTAATAATACGAATGTTATGATATCTGTCATTATTACAGTACCTGTAATCAAAAATTTATAATATAAATCATTAAAAATATTGAAAAAATTTATTCATACAATAATGATTTCAGTTCATTTATAGAACTTTCAATTTGACTTAATAATAATTTGTATTTTTGTAGAAATAGCATTTATTCTGATATTGTTACTTTTGAAGCTTAATGGCAATATATTCATTGGTAATATATTCATTTTATCTTTATCGTTTGTTGTAATGTACCCTTTTTTGTGGATTCGTCATTATTATGCAAAATTCTTTTGCATTTTTTAAAAATTTTAGAAATCAAACAATAATTTTACACTGAGAAATTAAAAATATAATTTCATACTCAGAGATTAAATAATAATTTCATACTTAAATTGTATGTTTCCATTGCTGTTTTAATAAATATAAGCAAACGTACATGAAAAGATAATATATTCAACAACAAATTCCAACAAATTATTTTGTCCATACAGTTTAATGCTAAGTAAATAAGGCCGTATTAATAGCATAAATGATTCGTAAATGACTGAAAAATTTTGCTAATGTTAATGGGATACATTAATCGAAAAATAGCGGATTAATTCTCGAAGAAGACTTAAATGATATTGGTCACTTAATCAATTATTATTTTCATTCATATATTTTTTTAACTATTAATGATATTAATGAGAAAAAATTTTGAAATCATTGATAATAATTTTCAATTCCATCTTGATCAAATAAGGGCATCAATGGGATTATTTTTCTTTCGTTGTATTTCTCATAGGAAAACAAACTGTTTGGGGGAAAAACGAAGGAATTAGGAGGATAAATTAGCAAATAATAATCAGTAATAATATAAATACAACAACAATGAAATACTCCTTAACCGATGAAAACGACACAACTTTTCAAAATCATTAGCATTACTGCTACCAATAAGCCACTTGGCCGTTTCATATTTCCAATAAAAAATGAAAAATTCCGATCATTCCAACTATTTCTATCGAAATTTTCTCTGGGCGATGCAAATTTTTTTGATAATTCATTACCAAATTATCTTTTTTAAATGAAATTGAATTCTTTATGATTAATTTAATCATTGCTTTCACTCAAAACATAAGGTGGCGTTTTTTTTTTCTAGAAATATTGATGACGGAAAATACGTTTAACAATTTTTTCAAATAATAGAAAAAAAAATAAAGGTACCGAAGATTGAATCTAATAGTGTTAATTGTTTAATGAATTACTTCAATTTATTCAAGTGAATTAAACTATCCTTTTGTACTAACAAAAAGAATGGATACATATTTGATTTATAGTTTATTAAAAACTATCAGTAATTGCTTATTTATATTCCAATGAATTATTATAGTATATTAATATTTGATCATTATTTTTGATGCAAAAAAAGCAATCATTCCACGTCGTATCAACGAAATTTACTTCAAAAAAGAACTAAAACTGTTGAATATTAAATTGGAAAGAGAGGATAAAAAAAGTTGCTGAACTTTGAAACAATTTTATTGCTACATTTTTCATTAGCAAATTATTAGCATTTTATTGTGTATTTACTCATTAGAAGATTGGCATTCATTAACAAATTGAAATGAATTACTTTTTCTCTTTACACTTTTCCACAACATCACTGATACCTAAACTGATAATATACTTTCAGAATAATTGCTCGAATTGTTTAATTGGAAATTCAAATGGCATGCATTTAATGAAATGATATAGTTTTTGAAGTTTAAATCATACATTATATCTTTCTCAGCTAATAATCATATAATTCATAATATTCTATAAACTGTATCAAAATCACGCTTTTTTTTTTTTTAAACAGTGGCTTTAAGACTAAAATCTCTGGAATGTGAAAATAGTTCAAATTTATAAATTACGCAGTTTGTAGAGATATCAATTTAGGGTGAAAAATCGAGTGACATGGCTAGTGATGCGGTGAAATCGACAGTAACTCATGAAGAATTGATTAAGTATGTATTATGAGCTAAATTTAGTAATTTCATAAAATTCAGATTGTAATTGAAAATTGATATAATTTTATTAATAAATTTGATAATTTTCTCCAATTCATGCATGAATAACTATAAAAAATGCCTTCAATATCTACCGATATATTACTTAACGTTTCATTTAGTCCTGAAACGGTCACTTTTTTTCCTGTTCTCTCTTATTAATCTTTTAAATTAAATAAATATATTACCTTAGAAAAATTATTTTAGATATTTTTTTTTGATTGTAAGCATGATATTTGAACATCGATATATCTATTTTTATGCTATAATTCATAAAATGCTATTTGCCATTCCCATGAATAGAACAAAATAATACTTACAAAAAAATTTTAGAAGAATGGAGGGTTTGAAATTCCACGTCGAACCGGACTTTATTTGTGTTGATAGCACAGAAGAATTGATAAATCATCATGAAGTGATTAATGAAAATTTATTTCCAATTATTTTCCGAGTGAATTTTCCTATACATTTTCCAATTTTAATTATTTATCTGTCATGAGATATTTACATGTCATCATTACATTGTTTACAAAAGACACTGTAATTGGCATCGTAAGCCTGCTATTATTGGAAGGACTGATGTTTTAATGATTGCAAAAGAACTGCTCATCATTTCAAAATTTTGCTCATTTCCCTCAATCTCTGCAGTTCTAAACCCCCGCTGATATTAGCAATCTTGCAGCACTGTTTTGAAATTTTTCGTTTCAGGTAAAAGTAACGCATCCTTCTGATTTCCGAGTAAATCCAACTAGTGGTATCGTTGGTGCTAAACAAACTTTAATGCTTAAAGTCTGTGCGATAAGTTTTTGAATGACTGACACCACATTGATTATTTTAAACAAAACAAAAGCTCAGATGGAAAATAAAAAAATATTTTAGAAAAATATTTTAAGATAAATCGTTTTTGAGATAAAACGTCTTGAAACTGCACCCCGAAGCGATCGTTTCGATCTTGAAGCATTACCATATATAGAAGAACTGCTAAAAATGGATAAGTCAGTTATTTTAACAAAAAAAAATCCAGTTTACGAAGTTCTGATTAGTTAAAATAATACTTATATTTAGACTACTCATACAATAGTATCATTGAAAAAGAGATATTTTTTTAGAGGTACAACACGAATACCATTACAGTATCGAATACAGTGGTTTTTCAGCTTCGGATACGTACCCACCGTATATTCTATTAGGTAAGCACAGTATTACGATAGATGGATGTTATTTTAATTAAAAGCTTCATCAAGCCATCTGATAATATTAGGTAGTGGAAAATGAAGCATTTACGTCTAAGTAGGTCATCAATCTATAACCACTTAGCTCTTTCAAAAAAGTGAAGAAACCATTTTCATAGCATTAATACTTATAATACAACATGGAAGTGCCAAATTTTAACATTTATAAATTATACACATGCTTATTTGAATAAGAACAAACAGCCAACTTCAAGCATGAAGTTTATAGATATAAGCAAGTTGAACCGTGGGATGTTATATTTCCTGCATTGGACGATCCTGATAATCTCAAAATTTCACCGCGTCTTTCGCAAATTTGCAAGGAAAGTGGAATCACAACGGAAGAGAAAGTAAGTCCTATCAAATTTTATAATTTGACATTGCATCAACCATCAGAAAAGAGGAGGAAGAATTTGACACTTCGCGCCATTTTAATAACCACTGTCATTTAGTATTTGGAAACATAAATGAAATTAGTGAAAAAAGGTATACAGTTTGATTAAACAATTTTTATCATTTGTTTGATATGCATTTTACTGCCTCTGTTATTGAGGAGCATTTAACTTTGAATGAATTTATTATATTGGATGCGGCAACAACTCGAAATGAAACAGACGAGATACCTTGAATTCAATTTCATGTAAAAATGTAAAGTAACTCGTTAAATTATAGTTGAATTTTAAATGTATTTCTTCATCTGCATAAATGTGGAAAAAAAGTAAAGACCTGCAGTCTATGGTGCATAACATAAAAATTGTGAATACTGACTACATTTACTCATTTCCAATTCAACTTATTGGGAGTTAAACAATTATAAAGCAAATGTTACGCCCTAACAGTGATCGAGTTGAGCGTGAAATAACATGTGGTAGAATGAATTTTGATTGAACAAAAACAAGCAGCGAAAAAAGTGCAAACATACAAAAAATTACCTTGGAAAAAACAGCATCATTACCGAACTAATATTGTCCTCATATCACCGTTCTCGATCCTTTTCACGTTCCTTGTCCTTCCGACTGTTTCGTTCTATAACTAATCGATTAAATACAAAAAACGAAAAAGGTAATATTAATTTTAAATAATTCTTTCGGATTAGAACTACAATGTAGCATAGTTCTGTTCAGATTGATAGTAATGGTTTTTCTGTTGGATATCCTACTTCCTGCTTTAGGAAATCTATTCCCCATGAAAAACAAATAAAGTAATACAAAAGTTATTGCTCATTTATATCCTAGCAGGTGAAATTCAAAAAGTCATGTCTAAATGAACTAATATGCAATCCGAATACACAAATTTCTTTTCTTCAAAAGTTTTGCTTTTCATTTTAAAATCATAACCACTTCATATTCAGTTAAAAATAAGTGGTCAGTCGAATTTGCCGAAATTATAATACCTCTATCACGATACTCCGGTGAACGATGTCGTCGATCGCGGTCCCTGTTTCTTTCTTTATCGCGATCATTGTCACGATCTCTCTCACGTTCTCGCTCTCTATCTCTATCTCTATCCCTACCTCGATCCACCTCACGTTCACGTTCTCTTGAATAACTACGTCGACGAGGCACACCCTATAAATGCAAAACATGGCATTATTTGACTTCTCATTTCTATACCAATAATATTTTGTAACTACATTGTTGAAAAGATTGTAAAAAAATGAAACAATAATAGTGTGGTACGAGAAAATATCAGTGATCTGAATTCCATTTTCATCAAAAAGAAAGCACACATTTTGCCTGAAATTAATTAGAACCATGAATTCTATAATGTAATGATAAATATGCCTACCTTTGAGCGTTCTTTTCTTTTATGAATTCTGTCGTCGTCGTCTTCGGATTCTGATGATGACAATTTATCAAGGTCTTCATCGAGTGCACTAACATATGGTTGTAATTCTCCAACTTCCTCCAAAGTAATTCGTTTCTGTAATTCATGAGACTTATGCAGTAGAATTCACATTCAGTTTTCCTAAAGTTAATAATAAGAAACATATTTAGCATCCCAGTGATTAAAATACTTTCCAAACATCAAATCTGAAACCATATACTATCTATCTAATATTCTAAATTTTAGACTCTAGTCAAAAACTGACCACAGCACGCTTCAGTGCTTCACTGTGGTGACGTAAATGTATGCCTACACAATCGAGCGTAAATTTCCCAAATTATATTGAAATTATTGATAAAGCTTATCCCACTGTTATTAACGTGGCAAAGAACAAATAAATTATACAGAAATCACACAGAAATAAAAGTGAGATGTATAAAATACCTGTATCCTCGGTAAATGAATATCACAGTATCGCTCCTCACGCAACAAATTATCAATAAATTCATCCATGTGAACAATTTCAAATCCTATAAAAATTTGAATTTAAATAGATTTATTTAGACAGATCAAGTATTAACGGTAATTACTTCAATTTTAAACATACTTCCATCGTTGTTCATTATTCGCAATTTCCGATAATCGTTGTATAAGGGTTCCAAGTATTTGTAAACTTCGATAGAAGTGAATGTAAGCCGAATGTACATTGCTCCTAGTGCGCGAATATACCTGAAATAGAGTAACGTGATGACGATTCCCAAATCCTCATATGAATTAGTCTTAATAACTTACTTGTATTCTTCCTGTCGAATAAACTCAACGGCGATATCTTTTTCTGGTTGAATTTGGAGCATTTTCAAACATAGGCATAAAAACGGCGTTGGTTTCACGTTTCCTGCATAGATTCCACCGATATACCGTAGCTCCATTCCTTTGTCTACCAAAAGTTCCGCTGTAATTACACCACAATGACATGCTTACATTTCTTTACAGTGTGTTAAATATGGAAGTTATGTATATATGCAACAATCTTTTCCATATATCATTTATCTTCAAGAAATACAAAATATCTAAAAAAAACTAACACAAAGATTCCAAGAGCCAGATATAGACAAAAAAAATTGAATCTTAAAATCTTACAAACTTTAAAACCGGATATTAGACTGTTCTGCGGATGAATTTCTTATCAAAAGTACTATTTACTATTTCAGTTACTTACCAGTTAACGCAAAACATTCTTCTTTCCAATATTTCGAGTCATAAATTCGTGTACGAATAATTTTTTCCACCAAATATTGCGGATTTGTCCCTTTTACAGTGACTGCATCTTTTACTGTCCGATTTGCCATTCAGAAAAAGACAATGAACTTGTGATATGGCAATGAGCAACTCTAAAAAACACACTTTACAGTTCAAAGCTCAAGAAGTGCATTTCGATGTGACGCTTGTTCTGAAAACATTCTATTGAAGAGCTTATCTGTATCAAATTTAATGGCAGTTAATCCTTTCTGAAGAGCTATGTGTACATGGTGATTTTTAATAATTTAAACCAACAATATCAAAATCATCAAATTATGCGTTTAACATCAAATAACTTATCAATTAACAAATGCTATCTCTTCTCAAATGTATCTTAGACATTGTAACATATAAAATATTCTGTTTAAATATTCAATTATTACATATTTCTACAGTAAAATTCTTGTTAAATTACACTGTTTGAGGTGATAAATGGTTCCTTTTTCATAAATACTGCTAATTTTAAAGAATGCAAAACTTTTATGCAAACTGATAATTGTTATCACGTAAAATGAATGTTACCATGTATGTAACCGTGTCACATCAGGCTAATATCAGGATCAGGCCATATCCCACAAATACCTTACCAGAAAAAAAATCGATGTTGGGAAGAGAAACGAAATGAAAGTAAATACGAAAATTTGAGAGAACCAGACATCACGAATGTAGCGATGTTGATCCCATTGTTTATTGTTACGGGTAATTCCGGGTAAAATTACTTTCCGGTTAGCATGGGCACAGGGTGAGTGTGGGATGTATCCGTTTCCTATGTTGTCAGTTCCGTGTGGTTATTGCATAGAGATTTTCCTGATAGTAGACATAGTACCACACTATCACAATTCAATATTCAAGTACCGCAGTTTTCTGATCTTTTATTCCAATATCTTCTGCTATTTTCCCATCTTGTGCTCTTTTTTATTTGAAATTTGTCAGCACAATTGTCTTCATTGGAATGTAGCGCTTCATTTCTGGTTCTTTTTAATCTTCCACATATGTTAGTTTCATTTTTGGGTATGAATTGTTCAATATTGAAAATGTAATTGTGTCATTTTTTCGATATAGTTTTTTCGTTTCCTGTGCAGAATGCTTTGATTTTCCAATTATATTTTAAATACGTTGCTTTCAGTAACAAATCTATGTTTGTTGATAAACAGTAGTGAACAAATGGATGGCTTCGATAAGCCTCATATGGAATCCAATTCAGAAGATATCGGCAATAATAAGGAAGTGTCAGTATCAGCATTGTCATCTTCACAAACTGCGGATATGTTGAAGTATAAATTTGATAAAATTACAGTCGCTAAAGTCTGTAGGGTAAGTGTAGTATAGCTGTGCTTAAGGATATTGTGCGGAAAAGGTGTATTAGTAGACTTTATTAACGAAACATGAAGTTTAATTACAAAATTATTTCGTCTGGTCATTCATTAGTCAGGCTTATT